TGGTGTACAGTGATGGCTGTCCGACCTGACTCTTAGGGACAATGGCCATATGCCTCTTAGAGAGTGTTTCTTTACCTAGTGGCAATGGGCAGGCTGGAGAAGGCCACCCCTAAGGTGGCTTCCAGCGCCCACATTCTGTTCCCTTTACGACTGTCTAAAGTCCAAAAGGGCCCCAGCCCCTCTTCCTGGAACCTGCTTCTCAGTGGAGCCCCAGCCTGACTCCTCCCACTGTCCCCCAAAGCCCCCCAGCCAAGGCCCACAGTGGCCATCCTCCTAGTCCTTGCCATTTCCCCAAACCCAGGTGAGTCAGGGCAGTCTGGAGCTCCCAAAGCTTGGGGCTCCCTTATGACTCCCCCTGCGACCCCCTCCACCACAGCCATCTGCAAACAACGCCCAGAGCAAGCCACTCGGGAAAACCACAGGGCGGGTTTTTTTTTTTAAGACTTCATTATAATTTTATCAATCAAATTCTTAGAAGAAGGAAAAAGTCTGCTTTCTCTACCCTCCCCCCTCATTCGTCCCCCCTCCCCCCCTTCACTCTCACTTTCTTCCATTCATAATTTCCTATGATGCACCTCAAACAACTTCCTGGACTGGGGATCCCAGCTAAATATAGCTGTTTCTCTGTCTTACAACACAGGCTCCAGTATATAAATCAGGCAAATTCCCCATTTGAGCATGAACTTCTGAAAACGGCCGGCATCTAAGGTCTCCTCCAAGGCCCTCTGGAGTCCAGCCCATAATGAAGGTCTTGGCCGCAGGTAAATCCACGCGTCCCACGCCGCTTCCGAGTCCTCGCTGAGGACGCCCCGGCAGCCTGGGGTGCTGGGCTAGCACCCGCGGGACGCCCGCCCGCCGCCGCCACTCGGACACTTGGGGCGCCCGCGCAGCTGGCCCGGCCCGCCGGAGGCGCTGGGTGGCGGCCGGGAGCGAGCGCGGCACATGGTCCGGGCACGGCGCGCCCAGCCCGCCGGGGCCAGCAGGTTGGTGGCGAGGGAGGGCGCCCGCACCGCCTTCCCCTGCCGCCTTGCCGCGCCTTGCCGCACTACCCTCCCGCGGTGCCCTTCCTTCTCTGCTTTCTCCTGGATTCACCCTCCCTCTTTCGTTCTTTTTCTTTCTTTCTTTCTTTCTTTCCGCTTTCTCTTTTCCAACTGCGTTCCGGGCTGCTCCCTGGGAGGGGCGCAGGCGGCCGAGCAGCTTGCAAACTCCGGCCGGGACCAGAGCAGGTGCCGCTTCCAGGCTTTGGAAAGCTGTGATCTGCGTTAGGTGAGATGCGGTGTGGGTACCTCCCGCAGCCATCCTGGGGCCTCAACACTGTCTGGGGATGCTGGGACAAACAGGGGGAACAGAGGGGAGTGAACTCGAGACTCCACCGTCCTTATGAGGGGTACGGATGGGAGGTCTCCAGCCTCACCGGTGAGTTGATTTCAGCCCCTATCACCTTCAGGTGCCTCGTGCTGGGTGGTGGAAAGGCTGATGGGGGGGGGGGGGGCTTGTGGCTGGGGGGGGGGGGGGGGGCCCGGGGGGGGGGGGGGGAAGGGGGGGGGGGGGGGGGCCCGGGGGGGGGGGGGGGAAGGGGGGGGGGGGGGGGGCTTGTGGCTGGGGAGAGCTGAGAGCGAAGGAGGGGCAGGAGCCCTGGGGGAGGGGTGATCCTGGACAGGCCCGGACAGCTCCCCGGCTCTCCTGACACCTTTCGCTTTCCTCCTGCCTGTCTGCCTGTGACCTTTTCCCTGATCTCTTTCCTGGTTGCACCATTTCCTCTCACCAAAGTTAGGTGGGTAGGGGAGAGGGGAGGAAAGAAGGTGATCCTCCCGCACCACCCTACCCTAACCTGGGACCCCCCCCCCAGCAAGGAATAGTAGACTAGAGGGGCAGTGTGTGGAGTTTGGGGGGGCGGTTTGCTGTGGTAAGTAGTAGTGAAAGATGATTTGAAGATGGAGAAGGGGTACCTACAGAATGAATAGGTGGAGTTGAGTGAGGGTTGTGGACAGGGCACTGGCCTCACTGAGGAAGGATAAAGACGGGCCTCAGAATTAGAGGCAACTGGCTCAGGGAGCAGAATTCAAGCAGCTGGCTTGAGAAGGGAGTCAACAGCTTCCCCCAACCCCCAGCTTCTGTGGTCCGCAGGGGTTCCAGTTTGGAGGTCTGGGCTGCAGTGGGCCAGTGAGCTTGAAGCAAGCTAAGAATCTGGACCAACCTGGGAGAGAGGAGACAAAGCCTCAGTTCTCCTCCTCTGCTGGACCTGGATGCTGATACCAATCCGGTTAGGGTGTCAGCTAGGAGACCTTGGGGCTTTGCCTTCCTGAGGGACAGGGCTGGAGAGTTGAGTGTCCCCCTAGACCCAACTTCCAGCAGATACAAATGACTCCTGTTCTGATACCTTGCTTCTTCATTCAACCCAATGGCACAAGTGGGGAAACTAAGGCTCAAGAGCAGGAAGAGAGAAGGCAGAGAGAAGTGGAGCCTTCTGCCTTTCTGCTCATCTTTCCTTCTTGCCTCTTCCCAGGAGTTGTGCCCTTGCTGCTGGTTCTGCACTGGAAACACGGGGCAGCGAGCCCCCTTCCCATCACCCCTGTTAATGCTACCTGTGCCACACGCCACCCATGTCATGGCAACCTCATGAATCAGATCAAGAACCAATTGGCTCAGCTCAATGGCAGTGCCAATGCCCTCTTCATTTCCTATGTAAGTTACCTCCCAGAGATACTGAGAAAGGAGGGGGGACTGGGCAGGAGGGGTCCCTTTTGGAGCTAGAAGAGCACAGTGGGACTGAAATCCCATACACCCACCCATGGCTTCCTCCCCACACCCTAGCCTAGGCTCAGAGACTGGAAGTCACTTTCTCAAGGTGGCCAGTGGGTGAGGGCAGAGGTGGGGAGCAAAGGAGAGTCTGCACTTCTCTGAGTACCACTCTATCGCATAGATCAGGAAAAGGAGGGTAAGGCAGTGAGCAGACAGGGAGGTGCCATTGAAAACAATGGGGCTGTGGGCATCAGGAGGGGCATCCAAGAAGAAGCTGGGTGAGGTGATTAAAAGTGCAAGTGTGTGTGGCGTATTGGGTGAGGTGACACCTGTGAAACGCCACATTTCCTTTCCATTCCTCTTATGGTCACGATGGTGGTGATGACAACCACTTGCACGGGAACCTTGGGGTTAGCAAGTGAGTCCACGCTTACAATCACTTCTCACTCATTATTCAAGTTGCCTATAAGGCCATGAGTTGGGTCCCCAAGACACAGAGGGGGAAAGTAAGGTCTAAGAGCCTGCTTTGAAGGTTGGTGGCAGGTTGGAATACCCACCCCTAACTCCCACATCCCCTCTCCTCTGTTCCTCAGTATACAGCTCAGGGGGAGCCATTCCCCAACAACCTCGACAAGCTGTGTGGACCCAACATGACGGACTTCCCACCCTTCCATGCCAATGGCACAGAAAAGGCCAAGCTGGTGGAGCTGTATCGTTTGGTCGCATACCTGGGTGCCTCCCTGGGCAACGTCACCCGGGATCAGAAGATCCTGAACCCCAATGCCCTGAGCCTCCACAGCAAGCTCAATGCCACCACAGACACCATGCGGGGCCTCCTCAGCAATGTGCTTTGTCGCCTGTGCAACAAGTACCATGTGGGCCACGTGGACGTGACCTATGGCCCTGACACCGCAGGCAAGGATGCTTTCCAAAAGAAAAAGCTGGGCTGCCAGCTCCTGGGGACGTACAAGCAAGTCATTAGCCTGGTGGCCCAGGCCTTCTAGACAGATGGCCTTGTAGTGTACCATGGACCAAGGGATCTCAGAAGCAGGATCCAGATGTGGGGGGCTCAAAATATGCTAGGGTTCAGGGTATTGGTAAATGTAAATGGGGTCTGCTGGCAGACCCTAGGGAGCTCCAGTCACTCACTCTACTCTGGGCTGGGCTGTGATAGAGCCCAGCAGAATTGAAACTTCCGTAGGCAGGGCTTCCGTTCAGCCTGGCGCTGACTAGAAATGGCAACCAGGGTGTTGGACTGAGGAGGCAGGTGTGGACGAAATTTCTGTCTCACTAGCTCCCTCAGCCTCTTGCTCACTATGTGTGTGAACAAATTGTACAAGTTGTCTAGAGCAGACAGCGGTAGAGTCTCCTGGTCCCCTGCAGAGTAACTGCCATCTGGGCCTTTACTGTCCCTTATAGAGACATTGGAAGGTTTGGTTGGGACTTGGGTGGGCCAGAGGGACTGGGATGCAGGACTCCTTGTCCTTATGAAGTTTTGTGGGTGGAAGTTAGAGAAGGTGCCTTGGGATAGAATGCATTTTCTTGAGCATGGTTAGAGAGTTCAGGCCTAGGGATTGTCGGGTGGAAGGTTCTTGAAGGTCACTAGTGTTCAGGCTCTTGGGGAAGCAGAGATGCCACCTTCAGGTTTGGGAAAGAAGTCCTTGGAGGGAAAGAGGCCCCAAAGCCTAATGGGCTCATTTCTCATCTCTGAAGTCTTTCCCCACAGCCTGGCTTGCCTGGGGTCTGCTAGTTAAGCCTAGAGATGCAGTGTGTACAGGTGGCCAGAAGCAGGTTGCAAAGACAGGTGAGGAGGTTCAGGGGTTACCCAGAGACTTCCTTCTAGGAAGGATCTATAAGAATCTGGGAGCCAGAGAGGGAGCAGGGCAGCCATGCTGGGGTGGCAGTGACTGCAGAAACTGGCTGCTTTTCAACCCCTGAGCAGGTGGTCCTGAGGACAGGTAACTTACAGTAGGTCATATCTGAGGCCCTGGAGGTCGCACAAAGGTACCTGAAGGGACTGGAGGCTGTCTCTGGTCCCTAGAGCAAGGAGCAGCAGAACTCGAGGACAGGGTCTCAGGGAAGCCCGAGATCAAGAGTGCTGTGTCTGACCCAGTGCGGTCGTCTATTTATTATGATGTCCTATTTATGTTAACTTATTGGTGCTTTAAATGGCAAAGTTAATCCCCCTTCCTTGCTCCTTACCCAGCAGAAATAACATGATGGCCCCTTATACGGGAGCCTGGCCCAGGCCTCACCTAGCAGGGCCTGGTCTGAGGGCTGGTGACGTCACAAGTAGACTAAGTCTTGAGTAAAGTTGAGAGAAGGGTCAAGATCAGAGAGGATGGCCAGCTCTCTTGTCTCCCACTGTAACTCAATGTAGGGGTGTCAAGGTCCCCCAGCAGGAGCTGGGTCAATTTGTGGGGTGGGGTGACTGAATGGTTCCCCACCTTTTCTGGTTGCAGGGGGAGGGGGTCAGTCTACCATGTTATCTGGAACCCCCTGGATTCCTACTGCCAGGAGGACCATTCATGATTGAAATGAATGGCTCTGGAGCCTTGGCAAAGCTGATTCCTTGTCCCTCAATGAACAGCTGAGGAGCCCTAGGAGAGCCGGACCCAGCACTCAGCATGCTCCCACACAGCATGGAAGCTCCTCGGGTGGCTGGAACACCCACAGAGGACGAATGCAGGAAGTTGGGGCAGTGCGGGGTCTGAACAGCTGCCCAGTGCTCCAGAGAAGGGGAGAGCAAGGCCTGAGATGTCTGGGACACAGACCAGGAAGCTGTGGTCCTCGCTTAGCTGCTTCCCTCCCACTCCCGCCCATGTCTGGGCTCCCAGGCAGGGAACCTGATCTGATCTCTCCTTTGTGCTGAGGCCAGGCAAGCAGAGAAACGCCCTCTGTCTGGGAGCAGGGTAGGGAGCGAGGCAGCCAAGCTGGGGCAGTGACTGACTACAGTCTCAGAGCAAGGCTGTCCTGACAGTTCAGCTGCAGGACCCGGCTTCGTACATTTTTGTACCTTTCTCTGTTGTTCTCTAAGCACTTTACCTGTATGGCAGGTGGGCAGGCAGCTGGCAGGCCCTGAGGCTCTGGGTAGGACACCAAAATGTGGCACTTCTGTCAGTGATGCTGTTTAGATGGGAGTCACGCTGTTGCCTAGGTCACAGCCTGTTTGTTGCCCTGTTCTCCTGCTGTATGGAGCTCAGCTCAGGACCTGTTGCCCTTCTCCACGCTGAGACGCAAGAGAAGCAACTAGTCTGGAAATCAAGATGATTCAGCAGCCTGAGGTTGGCTGGGTCTCACTATCACCTCACCTCCCTGTGGACACATGGATTCCCTGGGCTTAACTCACCTGGAAGCCTTGAAGGCTCAGGGACCAACCAACTGGTTTCTCTGTGTGCATAGCCCCTGGCTCCACGTTACATCCAACTCCAACAGGTCAGCTCCCACTCTGCACAGCATTGCTGAATTACAGAGCCTTTGGGCAGGCATTTGCATATCTTGTCATCTTTTGCCTGCTAGTGTTAACTTTCACCTGGCATGAAGGGTCGTGTGCCTGGGCCAGAGGAGGAAAGATGGGGCATTCACAGAGGATAGGGTAGGACAGTCATTTTGCAGTTTATCAAGAAAGAAGTATAGGGGCCTTTATTTATTATTTAAAAACTGAAACCCCAAAGCACAGCTTGTTTACTTATCTCTCCTCCCTATCCTTGTCCTCCTTCTTGTCCCTGACCTTGACCGAAACAATCCAGCTCTGCTTCGCTGACTCTCCAGAGCAGACAGCATGTGGGCCGGAGCCCCAGAATCTTGCAAGGTAGTGATTTCCCTTTGGAAGAGTAGATGGTATGACTGTCTCTGCCTTCATATGACCTCCAGTCCCAGCCCAATCCCAGCTCCTGGGCTGTGTCTCCCCTCTGCACTGCTAGCTCAGCCCATGGGGCCTCAGATGTTTCCCTTTTCCTTTCCACTGGAAAGGACTTGGCCTTGGGTGACAAATTCCTCTTTGATGAATGTACCCTGTGGGAATGTTTCATACTGACAGATTATTTTTATTTATTCAATGTCATATTTAATATATTTATTTTTTATACCAAAGGAATACTTTTTTTTAAAGAAAAAATAAATAATAAAGAATCTACTCTTGTCAAGCCCTCTGGAGTATAATGATATGGGGAGACAGGGTTGGATGGGTGGAGAGCAGTCTGTTGGGACTTGGCTGGACAAAGGATGGGAGGGTAGGAATATGGGGTGCCTTTGCTGGGTTAGGGTGCTGGCACCAGCAGGGGTAGGAGGGTGGGATTTGGACTCATGCAAAATAAGATGGGTTCTGTTCAGAATATGAGGTACCACCAAGAAAGGGGACAGACTGCTTCCCTGGGGACTGGGATGTCATGTCACTAAACTTCTAGAACATTTAGCCGAGGTGGAAGCTGAAGCCCAGAGGGATAAGACTGCATATCCAGGATCATCTGAGATGTTGAGGTCACCCTCCTAGTGAGAAGCGCAGCCAGTCCCCAGCCCAGTGGGTGTGGAGCTATTCAACTTCAAGCCTCATGGCCTTCCCCTTGCATGGAAGTTCAGGAACTTGGAAGATAGAGTCTTCCAGGACTCTGCCATCCAGAAAGGGCCCATGGAGGCATAATGGGCATAAGCCCAAAAGATCTAAGTGCAGAAAGATCCTTCTGGACTCACACAGGACACTGGACCCTAGCTGGGGCTCCCAGCCTACCCCAACAGCTCTTCTGCTAGGCTTTTTGGCATCTGAGTGGCTCCTCAGGGGCACTACTGTTATCCCACTCCCTCCTACTGGGATATACCTTTACGGCCACCTTCTTCCTAGCCTCCTGGGACCCCATTCCTTGGGGGAGTAAGTGAAGTTCATACTGGGTAACCATAGACGCGGGTGTCTGATGGGGTCCCTAAGTATCTCCTGGGCTTTACTCCGGGGTTTGAGTGTGGGGTTCCTCTGGGAAGATTCATTTTGGAGTTCCAAGCAGGGTTTCTGCAGCTGTGCTTTGGTGCATGAATGTTGTACCTGCCCATCATTGTCCAGACACTCAGATTGGTGGAGGCAATGACCAACCTCTCTGGGAAAATGTGGGTGATGGAAGAGGTCCTTAGGTGAGAGAAGATCCAGACCAGGAAGTTACTAACTTTGGGGACCATCAGGGACCTCCAGCCAGCACCCCATTCTCTTCTCTGTGCCATGATAGGATTGTCCCTTCCACCTCCACCAATACAGCTCCCCACGAGTTTCACCTCAGAGCAGATTAGAAGCACACACTCAGAAGACTGCAGAATCAGAAGCGTCATTGAGATCTCCCGGCACCTGTATGCATGGTAAAGTTAGAGGTCCTTCCCAAGGATGAGTGATCCAGGCTTGACAGGCAACTACTGGGAGGAGAGCCAGGGGACCAACAGTAAGGTATGGCTCTGGATCTTCCCCTTAAGGGCAGCTCCAGGTCTCCTTCCCTCCTACAACCCCACCCACACAGGCCCTTGTCCGTCCTAATCCTTATCTATGGTTTAGGAAAAAGCAGGTTGAAGCTTTTCAAAAGAAACCTTCTTATGAAATGACAGGCAAAAGCACAGATAGAAACTGTGGAGCTGTGGAGCCTTAAGTGGCCTCTGGGTCTGGTTTGTCACCCAGCTCTTTGGTTTCTAGATTGAATCCACCATCTGCTTGCCCTCTGGGAGAAGGTGCTGGCCCGACCTGATATAACAAAAGACTATTAATTGGCTATTGGGTCACTCTCCAAAGGACAGTGGCAAACAGTTTCATGATAGGAGGAAGGGGTCTGTGGTACTACTCTACTGGGAAAGGCTGCCTGGGGTCCTTGGCTCTGCACATGCCAGCCCAGGACCATCTCTTATCTGTGAACTTGCAAGAACAATTGGTGTTGAGAACTGCCCTCTCTATGTCACAGAGGTGCCTGAAGCCACCAGCAGAGGAGCAGGGAGACCCAGATACATGTGAATTGCACATGTCTCCAGACCCAGCCTGACTAGCCAAGAGTGGAAGGGCTGCCTGATTTGCAGGAGAGGCTCACAGACCCCCAATGGATGTGGAAAGGAGGATTCTGCTAGCTCTGAGTTCAAGGCCATGGATAGGCTGATGGGGACAAAGTGCGGAGGGTGGACCAACATCCCAGCAGTTGCTTGCCAGGTAGAAACTGAATCCCAGGCCCACTGGGTCCTCAGGCACATGGTGGAGCTGAGACCCAGGGACTATGCCCGTGTAGGGATTCCTAATGCCTAGGAATTCAAGAGAACAAAGTTTTCAATCTAAGAGGCCAATTACCAACAGATATATTCCACTGAATCCATGAGTGGAGGGGATCAGTTGGGGCTTGAATAATTACAGTGGATCTTCTGACCCACTCTGCAAGGATAGAGCTGAACTATTCTCTCCATTTCACAAAGGAGGAAACTGAGGCCAAGCAGGGATGTTGAAGGGACTATTTTGACATTTCTCAACTTAGAAGACGTTCTTTTTCTGTGTGCCAGAAATGGGCATAGTGTGTGCTAAGAATACATTCTAGCACTGAACCACACCCAGATGTGAGATGCTCTGGGCTCTCCTTTATTTTTTAGACAGACATTGTTTTTGAGAAAGGGTCTTGCTGTGTAGCCTAGACTGGCCCTGAATTCTTTTGTAATCCTCCTGCCTTTGCCTCCCAAGTACTGGGATGACAGGCCTGCTGCACCCCTTTGGCTGTTATGAGGTGCTTTTTTTTTTTTTTTTTCAAACTTTGTGTGTGTGGAGAGAGTGTGTGTATACATGCACACAGGTGCACACATGCCATGGGACATATGTAGAGGTCAGAGGACAACTTTCAGTAGTCAGTCCTCGCCTTCTACCTTGTTGAGGTAGGGTCTCTCTTGTTTCTGCTGCTGGATTGTGGATTACAGACTAGCTGGCCCAAGAGCTTCTGGGATTCTCCTGTCACTGCCTCCCATCTTTCCATAGGAGCATTGAGATTACAGATGTGTGTCACTACATCCAGGATTTTATCTCGACCGCAGGGGACTGAACTCAGGTTGTCAGGCTTGCACAGTAGGAGCTTTCAGCCGATGAGCCCTCTTGCAGGCTCAGCATCCAGCTTTTTACATGGATTCCAGGGATTGAACTGAAGTTGTCAGACTTGCACAGCTATTGCATTTTACCGAGTCATCTCCCCAGTGCGTCACTTGCTGAGCCATCCCACTGACCCAAGCTGCTCTTGATGGCCACTTATGTTTATGGCTGCCATCTATATGTGGTCACCACAAACCTGACCAGAACTCTGAGTCTTTTTGCACCAGGTTTTCTGCCCAAGTAGCCTAAGTGTTAAGGTAGAAGACAGAGAATCTCCTGGGTAAAAATCCCAATTTTGAAGGTAACACACCAGGAGAATTTACTTATTGCACCAAACCACCCTGATTTTAGCAATAAATATGACTGGCATAATAGAACCATCATGTGTTCATCTCATGATTTATCATCTTCATTGATCTCAACAGCAGCTTAAGGCAGCGTAACAGTAGAAAGCACATAAAGCACTGATAACAGAGAGCCAGCGACAGAAGTTATAACAGAATGAGAAGACAAAGACCACAGAAAGAAAATAAATGTTCCAGAGTACAAGGGGCCACATAATTACCATGGCTAAACTTCATAGTTGGCTCTCAGATTCCTGGCAGCAAAAGGAAAAAGGGATATGTGATCTTGTTATATGATTCTCATAATTGGAAAGGAGGAGGCTCGAGGGAAGCAAAGCCTAAGACTGGGACTGGGTTCTAAGGGGAATTTTTCCCTAGAAATTCATGGAGGGTGGAAGTGGATAACCGATGACATGATGGAGCCCCACCTTCAACAATGCCTATATCCTGGGGGTGGTGGGGTGGTGGGAAGGGGGTTGTTTTTGAAGCAATCTGTGCAAAAGCTGAGGCCCAGAGCAACCCAATGAAGGGGATTTCACAAGGTGCCAAGGTGACACAGGCACACAGGCTTTGTCCCTCCCTAAGGTGGAGGGGGGTGCCTTTTGAGTCTTGAAGATAGGGTAGAGGCCAAATATGTCTCAGAAGTTTCCAACTGATCTCAAGTTTTCACAGTCCTTCAGGGGAGGCAGGGGTGAGACAGGGTCTTGCTATGTGGCCCCAAGCAAGCCTCAAATTCATGACCCTCCTCCCTCAGTCTCCTGAGTACTAGAATTATAGGTGTGTACCACCGTGCCCCACTTTCAAACCATTTTATTTTTTATTTTTGTGTGTGAGTGTTATGTATGCAGGTGTGTGTTTTCATATGTGCGTGTACACATGTGCTCATAGAGGCCAGAGGTTGCTGTCAGGTGCCTTCCTTTATTCCTCTATCTTTTCGAGACAGGGTCTTACTACATAACCCTGGCTGGCATGGAACTTGCTATGTGGACTAAGCTGGCCTTGAACTCACAGAGATCCACCTATCTCTGCCTCCCCAGCACTGGGATTACAGGTGTGTGCTGCTGTTTCTGGCTTTTTATGTGCTGCAAATACAGGTCCTCATGCTTGCACAGCCATACTTTACTGATTCATCTCCACAGACCTTCCAAACCCTTTTTTATTGGACTAAAGTAAAACATACACCAGACAGCTTTCTTCCTCCAAGAAGGTTCTGTGAAGGACAGAGGGAGGATGCCAGAGGTCCTGGGACGGGCTGTGCAGAAGGGGACTGGAAAGAAGGCAAGGATTTGGGGACTTGTGGCCTGGAGTGTCTACCCCACATTATTCCAAGGCCACTTGGGTTCTCTGGGACCCTGGTGGAAAGTCTTTGGCCATTGCCTTTGGCATCCAGGATTCTTCCGGAGCCGCCTCCTGCCATCACAGAGGTCCAGCTTGAATCTGTCCCTTTGACTTGGGGAAGTCTGGCCTCACTTCAAGCACCAAATATTTCAATTATGAGAACGTGGTCCAGTCCTGCCCACTCCATCCAGCCTCAGGGACTGGGGGTGGGTGTATGTGAAGCAGGAGAGCCGCAGACGGGCCACAGATGGGGACTAAGCCTGGGTTTAGCGAGCAGAGCAGACGGGCCTTCTCCACTGCACAAGCCCAGAGGGAAACCACCAACTGAGAGGAAAGTATGTGTGA